GAGAGAGAGAGAGAGAGAGAGAGAGACAGAGACCCCGGGCTCCCGTATATCCACCTATACTATTAGCGTATCAAGTGCCGTGTAATCTCAAGTTAGAGCCCGGAGAGTATCCGGAGACTGCGTATACCCGAAGTTCATGAATTATTTAGCGCAGACTACCCCATCGCACGGCGTGAAATCCGTTTAAAGCTGTGCGGTTTGGACCTCATTATCATAATTATGATATTCACCGATTCGATTAAAGGTATGGATTAATTAAAGGTGCGAACTCGCCGTATTTCGCTTTCAATTGCGCGCTGCGCAATCCCGCTTGATGTACACCTTGATGGCATCTCTTCTGGCGGATTGCACGACTTCTCAAACGGAAAGCGTAATATTACTCTGTTTTCATTTCACCTAGAATCAACAGCAAAATGTTCTCACTGTTTTACATGTAAATTTATCTATTTATTACGATGGTAATTATATGGTAATTATAATAAACAAATTGCGAAAAATTATAGATCGTTTTTTTTATCGGAAAGATTTATCGAAGTAAATTAAAATTTTATGAAACGTTAACAACTAATTGTGCGAATTTAACGATAGAAAAATCAAGTTATACGTGTATAAATAGATCGTTTTTATTTTTTTGCTTCTTTTTTGTTTTCAGAGTATTCGCGTAATCGCCGGTACTGCAAAGAGACTTATGCATTCAGAGATTAAATATTAATCCACATTTGCGTGCGATTTAAACTGGCAGCACCTTATCTACGTGCAGTGCCGGGCCATGAAAGCGCAGACTTGTATAGGCTTTCGTGCAACCGTAGCGTTAATAAGTAACGTGACGTTCATACGATGGCGGTTAAGAATAACGCTGCTTCCTACCTCCGTTGGGGGAACAACGGGTTAATGTCTTCCCCGAGGCCCTCCCGCTATCATCCATTTCTAATAAATTCAGAAATAGATCCGTTTACGGATTCGCGAGCCGCGCGCGCACGCCGAGCACGTCTGACGCTTGCTTTACATATTTAACAAGCGGATTTACACTCGGGCTTTCGGACAAAGTCCAAATTCTGCCTCCCGAGACAAGCTCGATTAATTTTCCAAGCCCCGATCGTCCTTGATGCAGGCATCAGGCATCGAGGCAGCTTTTCGGACGGCGAGCCTCATAAACACTTCGTGCCTGGCAGACATTTGTCATACATAGGACAACGTTACGAAGCCCTATTACTAGCGGACTTTGCTTTGCAGATGCGGCAAGATTTGCATGCGACGGCGTAAAGGAAGTATGTTGGTTGCGAGAGGGGGAGGGGGAGGCCGAGGGACACGGAGGATCTCGTAAGCGGATGAATTTTAAAACAACTACCGCCGGACGAACTGCGTTGCTCGTCGCATATTTCGAACGAAAAAAATGTACGGACGGATTTACGCGGGACTCGTAAATTTTTGATGATTTCGATCTGAACTTCCGAGGCTTCTCGACTTCCTGGCATCCACCAAATCCGTGGGATTTTCGAAGAGTAGTTTCAAATTTAAATAAATATTGTTACGAGAATGCGTTTATGACAGCGAAAAGTTTCCGTAAAAAGTTGAATGACAAGTTCGGATAGTGTATATAGTTTTTTGCGTTCGCAGAATGTATATAGTTTTTTGCGTTCGCAGGTTTCAAAAATTTGCGCTCTGAAATACACACACACAAAAAAGAAAAGATATAAATTCATAACTTTTTCAATATTTGTGTTTCACGATCGAGTTTTATTAGTTGCACTATTTCTCTGTTCTCCGTTCAAAAATAAAATTTATTCAATCTCCTTTCATTTTGTACACCGAAAAGTTTGTAACTGAGCTTACACGTAGTGCCTAGAAAAAATTCGCAAGATTAGTTACATGTCTAAAAACGCTTTTACATTTTTTAACAAATTTTCACGAGCATTTTTTTTGTGTCAGCATGAATTTTTGAGATATACTGTCTATCAAATTTATATTTAGGAAAGAATACTTTGTAGAAAATAATGTTATGCAACAAATCTAGATGGTAGTTAGTCTCTGCACGCGCAACGGAGATTGCAACGACGACATGATAATTAATCAAAGAAACGATTGGGGTCAGATTCGCGTTACTCGCTCCCTATCGCGTCGTAGTCGACCCTCAATCTGAAACTGCAAAATTTTCTGGCGAAATAACAGCATCGTAAACTCGTGCCGTCCGCACATAATGTGGATTAATAAAAAATTAAGGCGTCACTCTAAAAATTATCGGGACGGTCTTTAGGGGAATGCGTGGACGGAGTTTTAAATATTTGATAATGTGATTACAGTGGCAGCAAAGTATAAATGGAATCTACGAGGTGGGATACGCGATATCCTTGGTGGCGCTACTGCTTTCCTTAGGAATTCTCACGTACTTCCGGTAAGTTACAAATTTATCGACGTTGTTATTATCTTTGCAGCCTCAACAGGATATTAAAATTTGTATGCGCCAGAGTACGTTAATGCAAAAACTTTGAGAATTACTTTCGGAGGTATGCCGCGCTTGAGATACGTCTAAATTAGATCGCTTAAGAGAGAAGGTATAATAACTTTTTTAATTTAATAATAGAACTCGCGGTTTTACCATAAAGGCCTTTTAAAAATCTCAAAAGATAAAAGGCGAAAAGTAGACATATTATATATGTTTGAGATTATTAAAAGCTCTTAATTTAATTGTATTTCTAGAAAAATTAAAATATTATTTAAATGTTATTATTTATTATATATATTATAGAGATACTTGAATTTAAATAATGTCCATTTCTGTCAATGTAGAGTAACTTCGATCTTGGTTTAACTTTACTTTTCATTTTTCTCCAGGAATTTTCTAAAATTTAAAATCAGATAAACAGTACATGTTAACCGATATTAAAGTTAATTCTACATTGGTAGAAATGGACATGAGAGATTTAGACGTTTCATATCTGACAAGTAAGCTTTACCGTTGAAGGTACCGTAGACTATTCACTCTATTCGAGATATTCGAGATATCAAACTAGTTCAGCTTAAATGACGGTTCAATCTAGATGGATGTCACTTACGTACAATTGTTCGGTGAACTTTTAGATCTTTCTTTACGGCTCTGTAACATGAAATTAGAACTCCTTGAAAAGACTTCAGAGAAGTGCAATTGAAGAGAACTTTCTTGTTTCTTTACACGCAGATCTCTCAGATGCGCACGGATTACGCTGCATATGAATCTATTCACCTCCTTCGCGTTCAACAATGCTTTGTGGCTGATCTGGTACAGGTTCATAGTAGGAAACACGGATGTAGTGCTTAATAATGGCGTACGTATTAAGAATATAAATATAGAAGTATAATAGAAGCTCATAAAAGGAAGACATGCATGAAAGATATGACGAAAATATATAAGAAGCTTTATTTATAATTCAAGATGCTATTTAAAACAGCGGAAATAGCATTTATATTACCATTAAAAACTTTAAAACTAGTTCCTTTTTAAGCGGTTTAGCTATACGTTTCAAAAAGTTAAAGAATATACGTTTACTATTGATACAATTGAAATCGTATCAATCGCAATTTATGAAAATGTCAAAAAATCGTTTATTCTGATGAAAAGTAAATGTCTGTTTAAAATAAATTGAATAGAGTAAAATTAATCAGACTAATTATGATACGAAGTTAAATGCGGGGAACATTTTTCAGTGATAAAACACATTGGTGTTGATTGCAAAATTTTAAAAAACGACAATTTATATTTGATTATACAGAATTGTTAAAAAATATGAGGATTAGCATCACCGTCACAGGAAATGTTGTGTCGTATTATACTTATATGCCTAATGGTATACAATTACACTAATAGTTCGCAAGCGAATACGACTTGACTGACTTTGAAGAGGCGTTCATGAACTTTGCAGATGCTATGTCGCGTACTGCACGTAGTCCTTCATTACTTTCTATTAACGAACTACGCTTGGATGCTCTGCGAAGGCTTCTACCTGCACACGTTGCTAGTGAGCGCATTCACTAGCGAGCATAAATTAGTGAATTGGCTGATGGGACTCGGGTGGCCGGTGCCAGCTGTAATCGTCACCCTGTACACGGCGTTACGTGCATCGAGCGACGACCTCCAAGACACCGAGCAGTAAGTAATAATTTGTGACAGTGATCGCAGCACTTGCAAAACGAAATTAACACCGCCCCGCAACATTAAAAGAAGCTTTTCTTGCGCAAAATAAATAAAGAGAAATAAAAATCTGATAGACGATTGAGTCTCAAAGTAGATTAAAAAAGCTTTTATCGTACATAATATAGGGCAAAAGAAATAAAGTTACCATCGCTCTTTCCTATTTTGTTTTATGACATTAAAATGGAACTGGTTAATGCAATATCGTATTTATTAATTTATCGAATTAAAGTTGAAACCTCCACTTCTGTATTGTGTTCCCTTGTAGATTTAATCGAGTACCGTGTGTCGGGGGAAGAAACTAAATAACACATGTGATCTGACAATTGATTAATGTATCTTTTATTAGTTTCACTTGAGTTCCGCGTTTTATGAGGGACAGCGCTAAACGTCTCTCACTACGAAAGCGCTGAAGAAATAAAATAGGCTTCACATATCAACAAACAAATTTTATATGTCTGACAAATAATTAAAAGTGCATTAGATATATTTAGGGTGCGGATGTTCGGGCACGCGATGCCGGGCCGGGGCGCGCGCCAAGAACCGCTGCGTGCGAGTTAGTCGGATGCTCGTTGAAATGAGATAACAACATTTCTCGAGGAAACTTGTAGCCCGATCTATCCGAATATGATATCTGATGATATCTATCTCGGCTGGCGCGCGGTCTACTCAATGTAAATAAAGCGCGGAAATTTTTTTCTGTATTTTTCTCATTGATTCGAGATTGCGTGAGAACGCTTTTCTTCAAAATGCAATGAAATCTTTAGAAGAAAAATTGGCTTCAATTGAAATTGACAAAAATATTTATAATTAGTAAAACTGAGCTTCGAGCCTCCCCATTCCCCAAGAAGTGTTGCCATCTCATTTCAGCGAGTATCCGATTAACTCGTGTGCGCAGCGGTTTTTCGCGCGCGCCCCGAGATCGTGCCCGAACATCCGCACCCTAGATATAATCAATAATGTATTAGAAATATTAAATACGTTTGCGACGGATTTTGAATCATGATCCCTTGTTAAATTGTGGCTCTGTACAATTTCGTCAAAAATTAAATGTTACAATTTCGTCAAAAATAACTGAAACTAAAAAAAAAACAGAATCTCCAAACATTTCTTTAACTGGTGGGCACATATAGGCGCGCGTAAAAATATTATACGAATTGAAAAAACGCTCGTTTTTGAATCCATATAATATTAATGGTGTTTCCGATAAATGACTACGGGAATTGTACGAGTCTATCTAATTGAAGTGTTTGGGATTCGTTGAGGGAGACTATTGACCTGTGGCACCGACCGACCGCGGAAAGGGGGGTGCCGGTCTACACTAATTTCTCAGCAAGAACAGCATGCGGTCACTTGCGTACGTGATGGTAAAATTAGGTATGTGTCCACCACGATGAAGTGACGGCGGCTAAATGTGCCGTGGTACAAGATCGAAACCACGGTGCGACAATCACATTACCGTTCCATTATATACGACAGCTCAACTGAAAACTGTCGATATAACATGCTGAGAAATCGGTGTGCTTGTGTAAACAAAGTAGTAATTTCCTCCTGCATTTCCAAGGCAGCATCGAGTGTAATTCGGGTAAAACGTTTTAGCGGTTTAACGCAAACAATTGCGTTAAAATAACATGGTGTGATAGATTACAGTATTTTATTTTATATATTTTATTTCTTGACAAGAGGTTTTTTTATTAAACGTGATAAAATCATAAAAAAAAATCATATGTATATTTGAAGAGGCGTAAGTTCATGTTTTGTTAGACTGTGAATCACGTAAGAAAACAGTGCCGGAAGATCCCTTTTTTCCTTATCATTCCCTTTCTAAATCGCGCATTCGACCTTTTTTATACGAAACCTTTTTATAGCCGACGATAGGAGGATCACCTTACATAACTTACCACGGAAACCTTTTTTCTCGAAAAAAGAATTCCATGTAGTAGTGTAATATTCCTTACGCCGTGAATGACACCGGTCGTTTAAAATATGAATTTGTATATGGTGGGCGACCGCTATAAGGGATAATAGGGAAAATGATAGGAATATGAAATAAGGCAGAAATATTGTCATATCCGTCAAGATCAACAATGTAATGGCTATTTTATATCCTTGCTTTCTTTCTCTACTTTTTAGAAAATTTCTCGGAAGAATTTGTTTTTTTTTTTTTACAAAACTTTGTACGGTATCTGTATAAATTTTCCGATAGTACGCTATTCTTCCGCATCATGATTTAAAACGATTAAATAGGATTTCGATTAATCCACTTTTACCACCGTAACTTTTTGAGTTTTCAAAGTTTGATGCGATCAGAAATTTAAGGTCTAATAAAACATAGCGTTACTTAGCCTTCTTCCTACGCTATAAGTATACTCGAGAAAATCCCCGAGAATGAATCAGCGCTTTGAGCACCCTCGTTACTTTACTAAAAGCGAGGTCTCGGCCACAAAAAAAAAACCATTGTTGGTCTATCTTTTTCAGGGGGGAGGAAAGGGGGAAACAATTCACCGTGAACAGCACGCGTTTTGCATCGATTTTTTTTTATTTCGTCCGCATCGCAACTTCCTAACGCGCGTGGGTACTTTACCTTGCCGGAAGGCTTACCGCAACGCGAATTTTACACGAAAATACGGACAATATAAAGGCCAGAGTACGTTGTGCAATTATTAAAGGGGCAAAACTTGATGAACACGCATAGTGCAATTCTGACCGTGGAATGCCACGGTCTATCGCGCCGTAGTGCAATATGAGGCATCTGTTACACCTGTATGTCGCTCAACTTTCACGGAGTTCAAAGGTTAAAAGCGACACGTTAAAATTTTAAGCGCATAACCGCGTTAGATAATTGCGGCGCAACATCTCACAGACATTGTTTCAATCATATTATTTACAGAAACTAATGATCTCACACAAACCTTAGATGTATATTTTGTATAACTTAATCGAATGTATGTTTTAGTACATGTTTTATTGTTTTATTTAGAGCTCAGAAATATTGAAGTAATTAATTTCTACATTTGAATAACATTGTGTCGATTTCGATTTTGTGTCTCTCGATACGCTGCATGTTAAAATGACTTTTCATGATACTCATTGTTAATATGACAGCTACTGTTACCGGTTAATTAAAATTATTATTCGATAGAAATATCAAAATTCGCATGTTTGAAGAGTATTCTGCGCGGCGCACGCCTTAATAATAAAATAACATGAGGATACTCAATCTTTGCGCCAGATGGTGCACCGGAAACGCATCCGCTCCGCGGATATGTATATATACAAATAGATTTACGAGTGACGCAGATTGAAACATATCAGAACATTGATGAAATAAACGGCCCGATTAACGAGCCACATCGACGCTCTACGTTATAAAGCATCGGGTCGATAAAAACAACTTTCATATTGAAAGCAAATTATCGAGTCGATTGTTATTGTGCAGATACGGAAATTCTACGGAACGTTGACGAAAACATGTCACGATAACAGTAATTTTTTTTTAAGGTATACAAAACTTGTTATGTTAAATAAAAAATAATATGCGCGATGACTAATAATCGACGAGCTCGTTGAGCTCGATCAAAATCATCCATTTAAAAGATTCTCTCTCGTGAGACTCAAATTTCGACAAAAGTAATGACTGTCCGCTATTAACTCCGATTACATTTGTCGTATAATATATATAATATAAAAGTGATATATATTGTTACCGCGAAGGGAGGAGGTTTTACTTTTAGATTTTGGTCTTAGAACTTTCTCGTGATTGTTTTACACAAGATTCGACGTCAGCATCCGCTACACTTCAGCTTATCCATCTATTTTCGTCGATATATTTCCACGGTACACTCCCGCTATCACGTGAGATAAATGTTTTATAACCGGCCGGCGCGCTGAGGCAATATCTAACAAGAGCGCGCGCGATCCTCCAATCTGTTATGTATCTTTCTCTGCCTTCCGTATTTATTACTGGAAGCTATCCCCTTGACATTTTTCATCGTCTTCCTCTCTATCAGGTTTGTTAGAATAGGGTTTTATATTAAGCGTCTTCTATACACGAATTGTGTATATACTTAGGCGCACACAAGAATCGAGGTGTATCGATCGTGCGACGGAACGCCTCGCGCGAACGCTCTCTCCTTCGTTACTTCCTGTCTCCTTATTAATAAAAATGTCAAATATACATGTTTGCATCTGATGAATACACGTATTTCAACGTTAACGAAGGTAACTCTCAAAGGGAACGACATTCCCGCACAAAGCCTCAGCGAGAGCGGAAACAGGATACGTTGAATGTATATCTTGTAATAAACATTTCATTAATTTTCTTGATAGCAGAAGACGCGCGCCTCCGCGGTACTCAACTTTCCCTTTTAGAAAGAAAATTTTAGAAAGAACTGGCGCTCATAATTTATTACAACGCGTACTTCATTAAAATTCAGAGTATCACTTTTCATGCCTTTTTATACGTACAGCTCTGGTAATTAAAGACAAGCACTACTCGCAAAGTGGACAGAATTACGCGTCAGCCGGTAACCGAATTTAATGATTAATACAGTTGATTGCGTTAATTATATAAGTGACGAGTAAACAACGAATTGAAAATGACGAGTAAACGGCGAATTGAAAATGACTGTTATTGAATATTAGGTGCTGGATGAATGAGGGCAACTACATGAACGCGCTGGTTTATCCCGTATGCGTTTCCACTCTGCTGAATCTGCTCTTCCTATTTAATATCGTGCGAGTCCTCCTCATGAAGTTACGTGCCGGTCCCGCCATTGGAACGCGCCCTTCACGATCTATGCTGCAAGCTTTCAGGTAGTTGAATTTTTCACTTTCTGTACGCTACCGTTCACGTCAAATTCTACATTGACATGACGGCGCGAAAAAAGAACGTAACAAAGAGCGTAACGAACGTATCCTTCCGACTACGAGAGATTTACGAGCGTGTACGGTGCAATTTTTTTAATCACGATAAGTTATACGCAATTATTTTGACAAACACTCGTCAACTTCCTCTCAACGCGATACTATCCGATAATTGCATCAGCGTGTTTTTCTTTTTCGTCATTACGGAAAGAAACGTCGCTTTACTAATTTTAGTTAAATGCAAGTAGTTGAAATTATGATTGCTGATAATTTATAATTACGAAAGAGTACTAATAATTTATATACTTTAATTTATTATACTTTCGAGTACTAATAATAATAAATTATTCGCAATACTTGCAATTTATGACGACATTTGATATCTTGTTGTCCAGGGCCACGTTACTTTTAGTGCCTCTCCTAGGCCTTCACTATTTGGTAATTCCGTTCCGGCCGCCGAAGGATCATCCCTGGGAGCACTTTTACGAGGTCCTCTCCGCAATCACAGCTTCTTTCCAGGTCGGTGCTGTTTACACTTTTGCGTAATGCTTTACAATTAAGAGCGAAATAAACAAGTGTATTATTATATACAGCCGTGTAACGAATGTGTCTATAAATCATATTGCATTATGACACGTGTTTCGAACAGACATCAAATCAGATTGCAAAGCTTCGTGCATCGGAAAGCTTCGCGCATTTAATATATACGCACTCAAATTGCAGCCTACTCTTTCATATACATTTCATAACACATCCGTCAAATTAATTTTTATTATGTTATGCGGATATTCTTCCGTACAACGTGTAAAATGTATCACGATGCAAACAAATAAATTAACAAAGTGAATTTTACCTGTCGCGCCAATTGAGAGATGTTGAAATACGTATAGTATTACAAATATGATCAATCTGATCGTGTAACTGGAGTGCTCTCTCTACAGAGATGAAAGAGGATTTTAATCTTTCTTGAAAATCGCCAGTCTCAAAATCAAATTGTATCGAATTGTAGTTAGAAACAAACGTGTACATATATCCTTTGTGAAACATGACGCAGTCATTTGTTTTTTTAACGGAGAACCATCAGGTTCCCCGTTTAGCTGGAGATGACTTTTTGTACGGATGGAAAAAAACACAGGAAGCTGTGTGTAACGGAGTATCCGGATGCTATCACAATTTAAATTTCAACAACGATGAATACTTTATCAATATTTGTATTTTTTCTCATAAACAGAGCGAGAGAGAGAGAGAGAGAGAGAGAGACATCCTTCTAGATTCTCGTCCGAAGCAACACAAGTATCGAGCAATCAAATTTTGTGCGAAATTGCGCTTTCACGCACGACACTGCCCGACGTGACTGCATTGTTATATAATCGCTTTATATCGTATAAAATCGATGGAATCGCTATTTAATTGAACGATTCTGTCGAGTGAACCAGTTATCTTGGTATTTGAAAGCCGTCGGTAACCGTTTTATATCTGAAAAATACGGTTGTTAGAATGCACATACGCGCATCTTAACAATGTCGCGTGCAGCGAGAAACATTGCAAAAAGTGGTTTATCGATTAACTCTGCAATCCCTTTACATTTATTCGTTATCCTATACACATATAAAAACGATTTGAAATAAAAGTAAAATATAAGGAAATTTATATAGGAAACGCGGCGCGAATATAAGTTCTTCTAATACATAAGTATCTATGTAGTCACAAACGTCAATTTAAGTACGATATTTTTAATTTAATTGACATTTATAATCTTGTTATTAAGTTATTAAAATATTAATATATAAAATTTTTTGTGGTAATTTTTTTACATAATATTGTGCTACTTTTCTGAAATATTCACCTTGTTTTAAATTAATACAAAATTTGAATGACATGACGGGAGATGTGAAATATATTAAATTTTACACAAATTTTGCCAATTGTACGGGATAAATGTGCAACTCTCCGTATACAACAATAACGTAGAGCGCAGTGAGGGAAGGGAATAAAATTTCACAGCTCATTGACGATACGATTAAATTTGTGAGTTAATCGGAAAACCCCGTATCTCATGCGGAAGAAATTGTAATAAAGTTGACGGGAATTTTCTTCGGGAACGTTTCCGCGATAGCTCGATATCGAGGTAAAATGTAATTTCTCTCTTCCAGGGTCTCTGTGTGGCTGTGCTTTTCTGCTTTTGCAACGGCGAGGTAAGTTTCCTATGACTGCGGAAACGGCCGTTTCTGCCTTCGGAGTAACTTTCGTACTATGTAATGATATTTTCCCTTGTGTGTGTCGCGCAGGTAATAGCGCAATTCAAGAGAAAGTGGGATGGCAGCGCCTTTTTGCGAAAACGAGCCAATTCCTGCACGGCCACAACAGTCTCGGTATGCAATATTGACGAAAAGTACAGGGTTCTTGCGATTAAATCGATTTAAACGACGCCTAACGCTTACCACGTCTACGACACCCTTCGTCGAGAAATAAGACTCGAGCCGAAGAACCAGGTGGATTACGGAAAAGCGACGGGTTACCCGTTTCGTGGAATTGAATTTCTTATCTCCGAAATCGTGAATTTAATTCAGTGGCCTTTGAAATCTTCCTGTTTCCCTCTTGTTATCAGCATACCTTGCCCGCATTACTTTGCATTCCCCGCAAAGCGATTAGATTAGTAATCTCTTCAATTCTTTCGGGGCGATAAAATATAATATATAACTACGTCAGAATTTCTCTTGACATTTAATTGACGTTAATGCTAACAATCTGCCTATTTAAGCACACGATATAAATGAAAAATGAATACGAGACACGCGAAAATGTTTGCTTTTTATTTTGGTTTCAAGCATCGTCGAAGGGGATCGTAAATTTCCGCGAGGTTTGCGCGACGCTGTTTTAATATATACCATGAAAGAAAAAAGTTCATTATTATATATTTTACAATCCTTATGAAAAATTGAAATTATATTTAATTTTAAACGGAAGAAAAGAGTTAAATCATTTCAAAAACATCCGTGACTCTGGCGATTCGGAATTTATAAGCAGAGAATACGCGAATTTCTAACAATTCCTCTCAATCCACCGATTCTTCGGTCGCGAGTGCAGAATTTCGTGGACCATTATTTTGAGTGCACGGTAGTAATCTAAAAAAAAAAAATCCTACAACGTAACTACTCGACGTTACCCTGATGGGAGATAGCGATGGAGATCACCCTTGCGATTTTAATGAGAATTTGCGCGCTTGACGCACGAGAGAGAGAAACATTTCTCCCCGATTGGAAATTCCCGTATGCACGACTCGTCAATGGTGCGATGCGGACTAACACACACGACTCGGTCCGTCTCCTGATGCCAAACTAAAATTCACCCGCGTACTAACCCACACGCATATATACTAACCACGTGGAGTGCAAGCCGTTCTAATGGGGTGACGCCGCAACCGGACCACTAATCATGTGCCGTCGACGGGTGGGGAAGAAAAAAAGAGAGAGAGAGAGAGAATGAAAAATAGGGGAGGAAAAAAAAAAGGGAGAAAGAAGCATATATATGATATATATATGATTCGTCCGTATCGTGCCAGTGACAGCAGCGTGCCCGAGTCGAGTCCATTATGGAACGTTGACTGTTTCAGTTTATCCGCTCGACCGCAGGTCCGATGGCGGGAGAGGAGAAGGTGTGACTATCAGCCGGCAGCGTCGGCGGTGCCGAGGGACGACGACTGCAATAAGCGATTGGCGAGCGAGGACCAACAACTGCAGCTGCCGCAGCAGACCGTGCAGGTGATCGCCGCGGGCCGGCCGGGCAATTACGGCAACAACAACCACACGCGGGTACTCATCAAACGCGGCGGCGTCGGCGGTGGTGGCGGCGGCGGCGGCGGCGGCGGCGGTGGCGGCGGCGGCGACGGCGACGATTCCTCCCACGACGAGTGCGATCAGACGCAGTGTTGATGACCGGAATCGACCGGATCGACATCGGGGATGATCGCGCTCCATGGGACCACATAGAAGATCACACACCCACCCACACAGAGCACGCATACACACACACACTGTCCTCCCATCCTGAAACCGGCCTCTTTTGCGAGTTAGACAACAAATCGGAGCTTATTGATTCGTGGTTCAATCGAATGTGCCGTTACGAGTTGGTAAATGGTAAACTATTGCAGAGAGATCGAAAGATCTATTGTAAATATCTTATTTTCTATGTGTAATATAATCAGAAAAATTCTTCCTTTGTTTTTTATAACATACGTACGATTCTCTTTGACATTATAGAAGGAAAAATAGTGCAACGGAACGATTTAAATTCGCATCGAGTATTCGCATGTGAATCCTTTTATTTATTTATTTATTTTTTAACGAAAAAGGTACGACCCGCATCGCTACTCCGCTCCACCGCTCAATATTAAACGGAGCTAGAAAGAGGGATGCGATCACAGATGTTTTATGATACACCTGCATGGGATATGGAGTTCTGAGAAATTTGCCAAGGCCCGAGCTCTTAAGCTCGAGGATTTATTTTTTTAATGGAAAAATTAACGATATATCGCGAAGATAGGATAATGATTTTAAGAGATCTGATTTTTATTACGCAACGAGAATATCATCCCTCTTTTGAAAACTGAATGGAAATGTCCATGTTTACAATTTATTAATTTGATGAGGAGGAAAAATCATATCAACGATCGTCTGTCGTTTTTATACTAACGAGTAATTTGCTATTATTTGTTCGTGTTTAAAGGTGATCTGTTAGCGCGTTAGTGTTTCTTGCCAATCGTTTCGCACTAAATGTGAATAACGCAATCTTGTTTATATATATATTTTAACATCTACGTGACGTATTACATAGATATATCGATCGACTGTATGCTGATATTCATTGTCCACGACACAATCGTAAGAAAAGGAGTCTGTAATTAGAATAAATGTTGATACGATGCATACTAGTCTTAACTGTATCATGTAGAGAGTAGATCGCATAACTGTAATAAAGAAATCATGGGTAGGGCGAATTAATTTTGGCGGATTTTTGAGAATGAGTTAATGGATTCGTAGGAAGCTTAAAAGAGGAGCTCACCCAAAGCAAATGCGAAAGAATTTCGAGAATTTTCAGGAATCTCAACGAATCTCCCTAAATTTAGGTATACTTGAAATTGAAATACATACGTTTAACGTTTAGGATGTTCTCTTTGGGAACTTTCAACTTTTTCTTCGATATAGAACACAAGACGACAATGGCCAAAGTATTTCTTATTTTCTTCGTACATGATCGTAATATATCGTATAATTGTTTTGTTACATGTGTATATATATTACATATATAAAAATTCTGTGTATGTGTCGATTGTAAGTAATCCTATATAAAAAGTAAAATGTGAATATATTATATATGTACAATAACGTGTGCAATGTCGATGCTTGCAAGAAATTCGTATTTCCGCAAGCGGAATGAATCTCGAAGAGAAAAATGTTTAGAAAATTTAATATATTTTGCGAAAGGATACAAATAAATGAACTAATCCTGATTTAACTGATTATTTTCTCGAGTATCACCATTTCTTGCACGAAGATTAGAATATATAATAAGTAAAGGTAAGATTAACCCTAGGTCACTGGGTACAACGTACTCGGTGCGATTTAGTCATTTCTGAAATTACATTTATCTAAATTTGAGCCATTGCTTGAATATGATACTAAAATATTTTTTTATTTTATTCTCGTCTATCTGTCTTTGTCAGACTGAGGTATCGCTTTCACACGTGTTGAGCTAAAAAATGTGCCTTCAATTCAGAAATACAGCGTGACAGAGTTACAAACCCCGATGTGGCGGGGAAGGTGGCCAAAAATAACAATGGTGACCTAGGGTTAAAATAATGAGTATAATAGCGTGCTTTACAGATGAAAAATTGTTCACCGACTATTTGACGTCAAACGAAGAGGAGAAAATTACTGTGATGCCCATCACAGATATACTTTATCAAATAAGAGTAATTTTCTTGACGAAAAGTCCTTTATACAGAACGCTAAGCTCGCTAAGATCCATCGCGTATATTTCCTCGCAATTTCCTCGCTTTTGACATCGCAACGAGGATGACCGAGTTAGGCACACGTTTCCGCGGCCTTTAGGACTCTGGACCAGTTCGTTGCAGTTATATTGAATTATAACGTCAGAGGCAAGAAATCAGACGTAATTTCTTCTTAGCAGCGTACGTCAAAATAAATGAAACATTTTCCTCGAGGGAAAACGGGCGACCTTAACTTAATTTATTTGTCATTAACCGATACAGCGACATTTTATTGTTCGTCTACTATTTTAAAAACTTAACTCACTTAAATAATTATTAAGTTTGTATGTTTCATATATGTATGTAATTTATATCTACCGTTAAACTTTTGCTAAAGAAATCGCGTCGAAATAAACGAAACATTTTCCCGAGAGGAAACGGGCAATCTTAACTTATTTATATCGTTAACCAATAACAGCGTCGCTTTATTCTTCGTTTACATTTTGAAAACTTAATTTGCTTTAATATCTTTCAAGTTTGTTGCAATTTGTATTCACCGTTGAATTTGCGAAAGAAAAATCGACTCTAAACTCTATCATTCACAAGTAAAACAGAAATGATGTACGATGTGATTTTCTATTATGTATATACATGGTTACCAATTGCGCCAATGGTTTTTTCTTACGGGAAAGGAAATACAAAATCGGAGAGGATAAAATAAGAAATTCATTCTGCAAAAACACATGGAGAATAATTATTGTAATCTGTGAATTGTGAACAAATATAGAGAATGATAATTTGTGATAAATTATACACGCAATGTCCTCGCATATCTGTATTACACAATACAATATGATCCATGCTCCATTCGTGCAGAGCAAAAAAAGAGCTTCGGACATGATATTCACGTTGACGTTGACTAAATCGTTGACTGTCATTTCCATCTCGTTAATTTTGTCTCCCGTCGCGATTAGAAGACTTTTTCCAGACCAAACAATTTTCATGCACGATCGTGCAAGGCAAATAATGATCCGAATATGTAAATAACACACATTCGTAGTACATAAATTATGAGTGTACTTTATTCTTATAATCATTCTATAAACTTAAAATGCAGCACTAGTCGCATTTAGTGGCACTAACCCGTAAATATATTAGCAACTGTGTTATATAAAAAAAAGGGGATACGATTTTAAACGATGTGTGGGAACAATACTGGAACGATATACGTATATCTATAAATATTATGAATTTTAAATAAACATGTAGCTATATATGTATACATACATATATATATATATATACATATGTGTGCATAATACACACATTTTTTAAAATCATAATATTTAAGGATATCATGAATTTTCATATTTACGATATTTAAATATTTTTCTAAATGACCCGTCAACATTCCAAAATTTTAACCCCCCCTCCCCCCCCCCTGCAATATCAAGTAGATCGTTCACATATAATCGCATAATACGCATGGCAAATCAGTGATTATCCTTCGTAAAGAGCCTAATGTATCTTAGAAATTACTTTGGAATGAATATAATAAATAAGAAAAAAAAACGGAGATCGCTGACATGTTAGAAATCGATAAAGATAAACGACGTCTATCTTTAAAAATCCTTTTTTGCATCTTTTTCGTCACTACATGCTTATAAAAAAAAACTGCGAGATTAAAAAAAATCTCAATCCAAATACAATACAACGATTCTTTCTCCCGTTGATGTTGCGATTCTTAATTGAAAGTATTCGACTGGATAATTGAGAAAATCTGCAAGACGGTTAAATTATAATATAATTATAATACAAAGCAATTATCTCATCGTATTAATCTCAACTAATTGTTAATATTTGTAATCGAGGTACGCTTTCTTTTTTTAATAGTAGATATATATATGTATAAGTCTTCAGTCGCGTCTGCATCGTTTGACATACACACACGCACTCTCACTCTCACGTACAAACACGCTCGCAATTACGTAACTGTACAGATTGATCATTTAAAGCTATTATTCACATTAACTCCCTTTATTTCTTTCTTCACTTCCATAAAAAATATAGCGAGTGTGCACGATTATCGCTTCTTTTTCGCTACGCTAAGAAAAAGAATCCCTAAAAAGATAGGACACGCTAAATCTGTCTTGACATAAAACGCAGATATAGATTTATTTCTGTTATAATACATCCGACTGTTTTTTTTTTCTTTATGCATCTATTTTCAATAGTTCGACCTTTAGTACGTTTAGTTCTGTCATTGCTCGCTACTAAAACTCGCACACAGAAACACGAAGTAGATTTGTAAAATTTTTATTGGAGAAATTGGGCCAACGCGCGTAACCGCGTATAAATAAAATAGCAAGCATATTAAAATTAACACGTTTTATTCAACGTCTTTTTCACATCGGCTATTTTTTGTTTTGTGTTGTTACGCATGCTTCTAACTTTCTGCTTTCAGAAGTGATTTGAAGCCATCGTTTGAAGAATTACTGTATTAAAAAAAAAAAATTTGATTGTAACACGGATTTGTAGATTTTGATTCCGCCTAGCGTCGTTTTTTAATGACAGGATTAAATGATAAATTCATAATTTTGTGACCTATTGTTTAGCAGATGGCATTTCGCGTAGACAGGGTGGGAATAGTCGGAGCATATTATTGTCAAAAAAGTGTCACCGATATAAATAATACGGATACTCCGTAACGAATCGTAGACGTCGGAAACTAAAAAAAGGATACTGTTAATTGTAGCTTTCACAATAATCTAAATAACGCCTTATATATATAATACAATATCTAATAATTCAAAATCGCATTTACTCTTCGAAACGATTAATCGGAAGCTTGCGTAAGTCGTGAATGCAAAGCCCCTGGCAGATCAATAAAAACGAGATGTTTTCCGTTGTAATTTTCTCTCTCTCTCTCTCTCTCTCTCTCTCTCTTTCACGCTCCCCTCTTTTGCTTTTACGCAGTCTATCAAAAATCCTCCAAAGCTATAAGCTACAAGCTTACTCTACTATACAATAGTTTCGTTTTTTTTTTCAAGGTACATATGTCGTTTCTTCTTTCTCAAAGAGGAGTTCTCAGTTCCAAGTCGTATTATCTTACACTTTATTACAGATTTATTATCCTATCTCCGGCTGCGCGCGCGCGTGTTTTGGCACTCGTGTCCTACTGTTTCTGCACGTCACTACTGTTCTCCTCGACGTCACTGTCCTCGTTCTCCGAGGTATCCTGAATGTAGGACATACTACCTTGCATCTCGTCCGTCTGCATGACGTCGGTTTCGTTTCGCGTCGCGTATTCCTCCTCCTCCTCCTCGATCTCATAAGCGTTCTCCGGGTAAATGTACTGCGCCGCTTCGGCATTAGAGTCGTTATCGATATCCAACACATTTTGCTCTATCAAAATCTGATTACCATCCGCGTCGTTTGCCACCATTAGCACAGTCCCGTCCAGATTGTGCATCTCGTGCACTTGATTGTCCCCGTCAACCTCCCTGTCACCGTTATCCATCACATTCTCATCCGCGGAGTCCTCCTCGAAGTCATCATCGCCCTCGTTCACTTCCATCTTCACATACTCCTTACCGGATTCCTCGCTCTTCTCCGCGTCCCCGGCGTCGGAGTTGCAATCGCCATTGTCGGATCCGTTGTCATCCTCCAAATTGTCGTCCCACGTCACGGGCAGATCGTTGTTGTTAGCCGCGAAGAAGTTGGCCGTGTTCGACGCGTTCTCCGCGTCGTTTGGTATCTCGGTTATCTCGCACTCCTCTTTAACTATACCCAGCGAAACCATCGGGCTGAGCTTGTGCCTCGTGCGATCGGTCGTGCCGCTGTGCTCCTCAGATTCGTTTTCCGGTAGCAAAGGCATTATTGGACTCAACACAGGCGGCCCATCATCGTCGTCTTCATTTTCCTCCTCCTCTTCCTCCTCTTCCTCTTCCTCCTCCTCTCGCTCGGCTGCGGCTTCGCCCTCATCCTCATTCTCAGCCTCGCTTTCGGTCTCGGCCTCACCTTCATCTTCACCCTCACCTTCATCCTCATCTTCTTCGCCATCCTCCTCTTCCTCATTTTCATTATTTTCCTCATCATCTTCCTCGTTGTCGCCATCGTCCTCATTGTCATCGGAGTCTACGTCGCTCGTCGCGGCTTTGGCGGACTCCCCTTGGCGACGAAACGCCTCGAATTTGTCCACGTTCGCGGGTGCACCGGGAATCATAAAATCGTTCACGTTACTTGGCTTAGTCTGTTCTGCCGCTACGGACATACCGGAGGTAAGATCGATTTTCTGATCCTTGACACTCATCTCCATCGGCATGGCCTCTTGAATACCGTCACCGCGTATCCTGAATCTACTGATGTCGCTCAATTGTACGGCTTTCTTTTCCGTCCCGCTAACTTCCGTCCATGACCTCTCATCCATGTCCGATTCGTCGTCGCTGTCGGAATTACACGACTCACTATCACCACTCGCCCTACTAGTAGTTCTCGTATCAGACTCATTTTCGTTTTCGTTCTCCTCTTCCTCCTCCCCTTCCTCGTTCTCGTTTTCATCCTCGCTCGAACTACTATTACTATCGCTGTCCGAATCGTCGCTGTTTTCCGAGTTGTCTTCATCGCTATTCTCCGAATTGTCTTCATCGTGGATATCCTTGCTGCCTTCCGACTCGAAATCCGCCTCCTCCGCCTCCTCCGCTTCCTCGATGACCGACGTCTCGTCGGCGATCAAACTGCCTTTCTCGTCGTTGTCCGCGTTCTTCGCGTTATCCTCGTCCGCCACCGTGTGATCCTCGAACTCCGATTTGCCAGTGCAGTTCGTCACGTGCTCGGTGAGCTTGTCCTCACTCGTGAAACCTTGCTCGCACTTCTGACACCGGAAGTTCCCGATGTGGATGCTCATGTGCAACAGCAACTTGCTTCTCGCGTTGTGATACCGGCCGCACGTCTTGCAGGTGAAATTGTTGCCCTCCGGTGACAGAACAGGGGCGTGCTCGGCCTTTAGGTGATCGGCCAGGTCCTGATAAGACGTGCACAGCTTCAAGCATACGCCGCACGTGACGGCGGCTTCGGCGCGATGAAAACGAATCAGATGCTGCCACAAATGCTTCTTGGCGGGCCATTGCTTACCGCAGACTTCGCAAGTGCACTCGGTATTGGTCGATTCGTCGTACACCTTGCGCGAGTCTTTCCTCGAGCATTTGCCGTTGCCTGCCGCCTTCATCTGCGACAATGGCATAAGATTCGGCACAGGCTTCTGGGCGGACAGTTGCAAATTAATGTCCTCGAACAGATTGAAGTCGGGAATGTTCAAGTTGGACTCGTTCGTCGTGAGCGGTTCCTCTCGCTGAATCTGATTATTATTTTTCAGATGACTCTCCAGAATTGACGTGGGGATGTTATTCGGATCGAATCTACCTATCGAATTTCGCCGCGTGCACAGATTAATGTGATTCCAGAACAGGGTCTTGGTGGAGAACTGCTTCTTGCAATTCTTGCACTCGAAGTTGTTTCTGTTTCTCATCTTGCGCTTGCTGTCGCCGTTGTCCTTCTTGAATTTCTTGAACATACGCACGGGATCGGTGTTGTGGACGTTCTGATAATGCTTGGAGAGAAGGTCCGAATTGAGAAAGATCTCGGGACACATCTCGCAGTCGTACGTGTCGTTTGGCGATCTCCTACGTTTGCGCGAGTCGTTCGAGCTCTCGTCGCACATCTCCTCGTCGAACTCCAAGTCGTCCGTTTCCTCCTTCACAATGATATCGGGCGTCTCGTAGCCCTCCCTCTTCGCGCCAATGTCCATTTTATACTCGAACATGGCTAACTGGTCCTTCGGAACGTTGTGCACGTGCTCGTAGTGATCGCGTATGTCGTTCTCGTCCGTGAAAACCGCTAGACACTGTTTGCACGTGAGGAAAACCTTGCCGTGACACTTCTTGGTGTGGTCGAAGGCCTTCCACTTGGACGCGTACTGCTTACCGCACACCTGGCACGTGTTCGGATTGGACAGAACGCTGCTGTGCGTCGCCTCGACGTGCTTCTTCAGATCCTTGGGGTCCTTCATGGGAATGAGGCAGACGCCGCAGGACACGCCGATCTCGTTTCGGTGCAACGACAACACGTGCATCTTCAGTTTCAGCTTATTCTCCACGGTGTCGCCGCAAAAGTCGCAAACGTTCGGATTGCTGTGGTACTTGTGATCCTTTCGATGAGACTCCAGATCTTCCTTGGTGCGGAAGAGTTTCTTGCAGCTCGGATGGTCGCACGTCAGATCCGGGTGGTCCATGTGATTGACGCGATTGTGCGTCATAATGCCCAGCTTGGAGGTGATCGTCTCGTCGCACAGGTGGCAAGTGTACGTGCTGTGGTGATTCTCGATATGCTTCTGCAGACTCGCGCGATCCTTGAATATCCTCTCGCAGGCCCGGCAACGCGTCAGCAACGCCCCGGGGTCCTTGCGATAGTTCTGACAGCCTTTCATGTGACGGCGGAGCAGGTAGCGCTTGTGAAATCCCTTGTTACACTTCTCGCAGTAATGCAAGGCACCGTCCTCCGAATTCAGGGACTTGGAGGTGACGCAGTTCTGGCTGTCCTTGCCCATCGCGGGCATGAACCTGTGAATCTTGGCGATGTGCGCCGCCAGATGATCCCTCGACGCGCTCGTCTTCGAGCAGTAAGGACAGGTCACGTCCGCGTGACCTTTGTGCACCCTGTTCACGTGTTTCCACAGGTGTGACGTTCTTCCGTAGCACTTGTTGCACAGGTCGCACGGGAAGAGATTGTGCGCTATCCGCCGGTGATTACACAAGCTGTCCAGCGTCGTGAAGCTGAGCTCGGGGCACTGGTCGCAGCTCAACTCGATTTCCGACGCGCCGTTACTGTAATCGGGCTTCGCCGATTCGTTGGTCGTCTCGTTGAAGCTGCTGTTGTCGCACGCGGCCGCGTCCATAGCCGCCTCCAAGCCGTGGATCTTTCTGTGCCGGGACATCTTCGATTTATTGGAATACGGTCTACCGCAAATATCACAACAGAAATCACCGCTGGTCAGCGGCCAATGTTTCGCCTTCACGTGTGCGCTCAATTGCATAACGTCGGAAAATACTTTCAGGCAAACCCCACAAATTAGAGGCACTGTGTCCGCGTGCACGCCCATCACGTGCTTCCAATAGTCGACGCGAGTAGGCCATAATTTGCCGCATATCTCGCAGGTGTTCGGCGAGGGTCCTTGTACCGCGTGATGTTGGAGGTGCTCATTGCGCAACGATTTCGTCGCAAATATCTTTCCGCAGTTCTCCCATTCGCACTGGAACAATGAACACACACGAACGAGAATTGGAGTAACGTGTAAAACAACGCGATAAGAATTCAGCTTTCCGTCGAACTCCCGAAACTTACTTTGATAGAGGATTCGTTGTTATGCGTGTTGTTGATATGCAGCCAGCGTTCCCATTTACTCGAGTGTGAACTACCGCATACCTCGCAAACAAAAAACAAATGGTACTGCGCCCTATTGCCATTACCATTGACACTCAGAGTATTTCCACTACCCGCGGCGTCTCCTAACGAGACTATCTGGTCAGACTGCGACAAAATAAAATTTAAAAATTTATAATTAATATTATGTTAATTGTATATATAATATTGTCAAAATGACTAACGCTTGTTAAAAAATTAATATGAGTTTCAACCGCTCATTACCTTGTGAGCATTTCTCTGATGTCGTATAAGATGATCCTCAGTCGGAAAAGATTTATAGCAAATGTAACAGTCGACCTTCTCGCCATCTTCTCCGTCGAAATCTAATACTTGTTCATTTCCTTCGTTACCGTTTAAATTTTCATTATAGTAATTGCTATTTAATTGTACAAAACTTGCAGGATCAAAGGCAGGATCGATATTATGTATCGAGACATGAGTGATTAACTTTTTCCTTGAGTCATGCTGTCTACCGCATATTGTACAACTGTACCTGTAATGCACATTAGTCGGATATCAGTGTACTATATTTATTACACTTTATATAACGCATGCTTCATGACACGAACTAGTGTGAAAAGAAAATAGAATAAGTAGAAATGTAGAACGTAAGCGGAATTATACCTTCTTTGTTCCGAAATTAAAAGCTTAGACCTTCCGTGATACATATAGACATGATTTTGAAGTTGCGTATTATTAAAGCACATCTTTAAACACACTCCACAGGTAAATGCAGCATACTCCTTATGCATCGCTCGTATGTGCAGCCACAATGACGCTCGATCGTTAAAGTCACGCTTACAAGTCTCACACACAAATACCGTTTCGATTTCTATATTCTCGTGATTGTTCTCTAAGTTTATCTGTTTAACATGACAACATAATAATAAGTAACGTATCGTGATAACCGTATGTGCCTCCATAACATAATTAAAAAGTACGAAATAAAAATTTATTCTTACCTCAGGCGACGAGGGTATTATCTCCGGTGGTTCTTTTATTTCATTTTGCTCATAAACACTGACGTCCACTCGATCGTTCCAACTCTGAGGCATTACCGTTGTCTTTAGACACTTATCGCTGTCGATGATAGGAGTAGGATCAACGCCATGCGACACCGTGATGTGCCTCGTCAATGAGGACTTCAAAACAAAATCCTTCTTGCATAGTATGCAAATAAATGGCTTCTCGGCATCGTGCCTCATCTCGTGCTCTTTCAAATTGTCCACCGATGTAAAACTTTGCGGACAAGCTTCACAATACCATCTCTTCTGAAGATTTGTCTCGCCCTCTTCTAAACAACGATACATTCAAATTTTTTTCAATCCTACACGCGACACTCATTCTATTGTTACTTTAAATAATTAAATTTTACCTGACTTAATAATTTTTTTCGGCTTGCCGCTGGATGTCCAGCCGTCATCGTCGTAATTCCGTTTCAAACTGTCCCCTTTAGTCAGCGCCTGTTTCAATATAGTTAACTGCGGATTCTTCGCCAATTTAGCCTCGGCATTCCTGAAGTCTTTGTTCTCGTCGTCCGAATCTACACTCGAGACGTCGGACGTGTCGGCGAAGATCTTGTTGTTCTGCGCCTCGGTTTGCCCCAGCAAATCGGTACGTTGCTCCTGGATGCATATCTGCCGATGCGCATTGAAATCTGCTAGATCCGTGTACACCATCGGGCACGTTTGGCACTGGTAACGAGTTTCCGTGCGGGTGAGGGGAACCGACAATTCCGGAGGTGGCGGTAGACCAGCGTGTCGCGACTTTATATGTTCATCGAGATTGTATCGCGTCGAGTATATGCGGGAACAGTACGCACATGTTACTGCAGGATGTCCCCTGAGATAAACAGACAAACGTTTGACGAGATCAAAAAAACACCTCTTTGATATTTTCTCTCAAATTCAGTTAAAATAATGACACACATAATAATATTATGAATCGAATTGCTAGACATATATAATTTTTAAACTTGATACTCTTAGAGAGTAAGTTTTTAATGAATTAATGTAATTAAAGATTTTTAGATAAATTCTGAGTATTATTTCAACTATAATGGGTAAATTTTTATTCTCCCGGCTTGCCTTAATTGAAGCAGTTTTTATTAAAAGTACTAGAGAGCTATAATTTTTAGACTTGATACTCTTAAAAAGTAAGTTTTCAATGAATTATTGTAATTAGATTTTTAGATAAATTCTGAGTATTATTTCAACTGTAATGGATAAATTTTTATTTTTTCGGTTTGTCTTAATTGGAAACAGTTTTTACTAAAAGTATTAGAAATCTATAATTTTGAGGATTGATACTCTTAGAGAATAAGTTTTTAATGAATTAATGTAATTAGATTTTTAGATAAATTCTGAGTATTATTTCAACTGTGATGGATAAATTTTTATTTTCCCGGCTTGTATTAATTGGAGCAGTTTTTATTAAATAAAAATTGTAATAGTGTAGATCGTTACAGCAGACAATTTATATGTAAAATAGTAGTATATTGCTGAAGCTCTCACTTACCGATGCGTCGTGGAAACGTGTCCCCAACGATGCTTCGCAGTAGAATACGATTTATGACAAAGATCACATTGATACGGTCGTTGGTACGAGGTGTGGTCGTCGGTGATTACTCTCTCGCCGACCACATCACCCTCACCCACGTGAATCCTCGCGTGCAGAGAGAGGTGACCCTTGGAACTGAACGCTTTGTTACACAGAGAACAGACGTAGACTTCGTGTTGTTGCGACGTGTGTGGAAAGGCCGCGGTATCTTGCGCAGTCGCGGCACCCGTGCTATTCGCGCTGCACTCCTCTTCGTTTTCCTCGGTCACCATCGGGGTCATTTCCAAGAAGTCGCTGGGATTCGTCTCCATGTCCATTTCATATGCCATCTCGTACTCCGATCGCCGATCCTCCGAATCGTCGATCACCGTGGCTATACATATCAAAACAATATATATTAGCGATAAATTATTTCTTTATCGAACGAAGTAAGAAGAATCGAGTTGAAAAAAAAATGTGCAAGCGTACCTTCGTCCGTACCTTCACTTGTATCGAGAATCTCTTCGATCTCGGGATCCGCTTCACCGTCCGAGTTTAATCTCGGTGGTGTACCCAATGCCGCATTGGGATTGACTACGGGCGCCTCCGGGATAAGTACTGGCATATTTTCCTTCCCTTTAAGAAGCTCCGCGTGCGCCTCGCCGGATTGCGCGCCGTCATTTGCGCCGTCATCGCTCGCCTATGGATATAACATGCAACAAATCTATTTTTATACAATTTTTTATGAAATTATAAGCCTGCAAATTATTTAATATTAATAACATTGTTCTGGAACTTTTATAACTACAATAAAAAAAGTTTCTATTGTTACAATTTAAAAAAAAAATACTTAAATATAATACTTAATTTTTTATTGAGACATATAAAAAATAGTTATTAGACAATGTACTTTAAAAACTTTTTCAATAAAGTATGTTCAATATAAATTTTCAAACTAATTTCAGAATACAAATTCAGATCACGAATAATTGGTAATATGCTGTTTAAATATGTTCAGTGTTCACTCATCCAATTTTCTTAATAAAGTGTAAAATAAAAATTTGCAAGAGATAAGTAACATTGCGAATTCAGATACTTACGCCTTCTTTTGGCCTATTTCTTTCCAACCATGCAGCTGCGTTAACACACGCAGTCCTAAAGTCATAAAAATTTTCCAAGTTGTACATACATCGATAACACAGGACTTTTGGCAAACAATCATCTTCCATTATCTGAAACAGCAAATTCGACATTTCTATTTTAAATATACGTTTAAAAGTTTACACATTAGTGTAGTGACTAATGTCTTGGTAAATCTAATTCTTAATTTTACCTCTTACTAACAAATTCATTTTATTAGAAATAAATATTAACTTAATAATAATGCTAACGGGACAACTAAATTAAATATTAAATAGACAATAATTTTAGCAATGATTCGTAATTATGTAAAATAGTAAATATACGTATAAATATAATTAATAACCGGATGTATTTCACGTCTATCCCGATATCTAGGAATATTCTTTGAGAGATATTTATTTTTAAAAATCATTTTTCTTCGAACACGTTATATCGAAAACTGTCATAGAAGATAAAGATCATAACGCTGTTAAAGCGCCAGAGAAGATTATGAAAGAGTTTTAATAAAATTAAAACATATCACTTTTATTACTATTTATTATATTATTCATATATATGTCAACTTTTATGATAAAACGACTCTCCATTAAAGATAGTAGACATGTAACTAAACAATTCTCCAATAAAAAAAACAGCGTACTTTAATTCCTTAATTTTAATTAATTAATGAAAATAAAATTTCATACACTTTGAATATATCATTACATCAATTATCGTGAGACGCTTTAACGTCATATAAACTGTTGGATACATTCCATATTTTTCATATTTTGCAAGATATAAATTAACAGTGATGCTATTATATTATATTATTTTTCTCTCTTTCTCAAAGAATAACAGAGAGATGCATCTTAGGAAAGATCATATGTTTCGTACGAGGCATTCTTTTCTTACGATTCAAGTCGTCGCGTACCGCGTGCTCGTGTGTACAATCGAAATCTGTAACACGTGGGATTCGGTAAATCCCAGCATCGTGCACGAAAACGAATAATAATAACGATAAAACCGTGCTGCAGGGGATGCGCGTGACGGTGAAAAACATTGACATATAGAAGGAAATTCGGAATAAACCAGAACGGCGATTCGCCGTTGCGCGTCAACAAGATGACGGGACGACTTGAGGAGACGACTCGGCGATGCGACTCGACTCGACACGACTCGGCTCGACGCCGCCGCCGCCGACGACGACGACGACAACGCGCGACGACGGTTAAATCTCGTGGAGGAGGCATCGAGCGCGTGCCGTAGCGGCAAACAAAATGTCGCCAGTGCGTCGCGCGACGAAGCGTCCCTCCTTGCGTCAGGCCGACCTCGCCGTCGCAACGCCGTCCTCGATAAGCGATGGGGCCACCGGGTGGAATTCGTCACCCGAGGACGCCGCTCGGCGAGCGAACGGGCGGGCGAGCGAGCGAGCGAGCGCGATGGCCGACGGTGACGACGCGGCGGCGGGAAGAAAACCTTCACCCAGTAACGCCCCGTCGGCACCGAACGAGTCGTCCGTGAATCTGCCTCGTCTCTCTCTCTCGCTCTTCTCTCTTTCTCTCCCTATCTCTCTCGCTCGCACGCCTTCTGCCTCTGACCGTCTCTCTTATCGGGAGAATGAGATCGAGGACGAGAGTCGTTTGCAGGGCCACGAAGTACCGAGGGAGAGTGACTCAGAAAAGTAAACGAAACTGAGAAAGAGGGAAAAAAAAAGAAAGGGACGCGCTGGAAACGCAAAATGCGACGGAGAAGAGGCGAGAAAAAAAAAGAGGAAACAGATCGAAAACATGTCCCCACGAGGAACAGGATAACACGCCTCTCGACGTATCGCCGAGGAACGCGAGACAAAGAGAGAAGCGAGACTTACCTTGAACGGCAAGCACGTTTGGATCTTGTCGACGAGCTGGCGATTCTGGCCCTCCCGGCCGAATATGTGCATCCTAACGGCGTCGTAGGAAGCGCACAGGCGACACAGCTCGTGATACGATTTCCTCGGCTCGGTCGCCATCGCTGTCGCGCTGCTCCTCGCCGTCGCCGTTGACGTTGTCGACGTTGTCGTCGTAGTCGCCGATATCGTCGCCATCGTCGTTATGTCGCCAGTCCTCTCTCCCGAGAAAGCTCCGCGTCCCTCGCGCGCTCTCGCTCTCTCTCTTTCTCTCGCTCACTCCCTCGGCTCCCTCTCTCGCTTGCCCCCGCGCGAGCAGCGTCGCCGTCGGCAGCGTCGATGGCGAGAGAAGAAGACTACGGGGAGTGACGCGCGACAACGTTGTCGGTTGCTCGCTATCGCCCCGCACACCCAGAGCCAGGGACGACGGACGACGGAAACTGCGATGGACGTCGCCGACGTAGCCTCGCGGTCGTGACGCTGCCCGGGACGAACTGACCGTTGCCGCCGGACTCGGACCGCGCCGCGCTCTCCCACCGACCCGAGCGACGGAGAGGTCCACACCTCGGTCCTCTTCGTCTACCTGCCTGCGTGCCGTACCGTGCCGTGCCTGCCTGCCTGCCTGCCTGGCCCGCTTGGCCTGCCTACGCGCCTACGTCCCAGTGGTCCGCTCGACTACCTGCCTCACCAACCACCGTTGGCCAAGGCTACGCATCGAGTCGTTGCCGCTTCTTCCGTTCCTCGGGCCGCATCCTTCGAGACGCCTCCGCCGCCGCTGCCGCCGCCGCTGTCGCTGTTGCTGTCGCCGCCGCCGCCGCCACCACCACCGCCGCCGCCGCCGCCGCCGCCGTGATGCTCGGCTCGCTGAGATACCGCTCTACCCGGGATAGGCTAGGCAGCGCACTGCCCTGCACCGCGCCACACCGCACCACACTGCACCGCACCGTACTGACCGTACTCCGCTGTGCCGCGCCGCACCACGCCGCGCTGCACCGCACCGCACCACACCGCACCGCACCGCACCGGTCCGTCCGCGGTCGGGTCGAGTCGGGTCGTCGTTGTCGCAGCTAGCGCGCACGTAGGCACGTAGCTCCGGCCCAACCACCTTCACTTCACGCACGTCGCTGCGGCATCGCTGACGACGCGCGCTGCTGCTTCCTCGCGATCCTCGCGACGACAGTGGGAGCTCCGGGCGCCGCCATCTTGTATACAGACACTTGTTTCGCCGCCGGTGACGGTGACGGGAGTGACGGGACGACGGAGGAACGCCGACGCGGAGCTGATGCCGACGCGATGCCGCGCGTGCAACGGCGCCGCGACGTGCCCGGCCGAGCGCGTTGCCGCGTTTTTGGAAATCGCATTGTCCCACTCACTCGGGAAAAATTCAAGAACGGCGTCGCGCGCACGTGGCATCGCCGACTCGCGCGTCTTATAACGCGGGTCACCGTTACCGCGTTCCACGTGTCTGCGCCAGATCGCCGCCGATTGGCGATTGCCGCGAGCGCGAGCCGATCGTCGGCCGCCCATTGGCCGGGACCTTACTTCAGTCGCGCGATAGAAGTTTTGAATGACCCTCGATCGATTTTGCGTGAAATAGTGTATTCGTTTTTTTTTTTGCACATCGCGACGATCGTTTGTAGATTCCGTTTTTCCATCGAGTTGTGCGAATCGGAAAATTCTATATTTTTTAACCTTTAGATTTGTAAAGATATATTTTATTCGATCGACAGAATCGCATCTCGATCGAGATTTAAAAAATATAGATTTTTAACGAGTTTTGGAATCGATTTTTATCGCAATTTTCTAAATATTGACGTTATAGATATCTCGAGACAGAGACAAAAATATAAAGGGAATAAGTCTAAAAATGTTCTAAAAAATGATTTCTATATTAAAGTCATTGAAGGTGTATAAATAATGATTGAATCGATTTACGTTTCGCTTAATTTGCAACAAGCTCGACGGAGAGAACTTGAACTTTACTCTCTTTACTGAAGAAAAACATTAATTTAAATTTTAAAAAACTTGCACTTCTATGTCACTCGTTTTAAAAAAAGCTGTCTTCCTGCTTTTTTCAATTGACAAGAAAATCTTACATATACTTCACATGCATATAACCATTAGGAAATAATCTGGTACATGACATTTACGTCATTTACTTTTCTATGCTATGTCTTAGGTTGAAATGTATTTGGCCTCTTTCTTTTACACTAGTTGCAAATTTAACTTGTAGACATATAGATAGAAAAAGATATATTAACCTGATAATTTTTTCCTAATTTTGCCCTTAAATTGAAATCTATCTTGCAAAGAAATACGAAGAGGAGAGAAATGAAAGAATATTGGCAAACGAAAATGTTACATAACATAATTTTATTGTAACCTATAGTTCCAAACTCTCTTATTCGTAGCAATTATGCTTGCAGTATATACTTGCAGTAATTACTTCTCCCTATTTATTAACACTATTATCCCAGTTTGTCGCATTACCAGATCCACAGCTGGCTAGAATCTTGAACGCCAAGCGCTACAAACGACATTCTTACGTCAACGCGTGACGCTCGGTACGTGCGCGGACTACATTCGGATCAGCGTGCCCAAAGTGTTCGAAGTACAATGGCTCTCTAAACTGATTGTAGTCGTCCAGGTAGAATATCGGTTCTCCGTAGTAAGTTCCAACTTCCCAGCCCTCTACATTCTTCATCAATTCCGCCTCGGCGTCACGATTGCGTCTCATTTGCTTCAAGATGCTACGTGGAAAGGAAAGAAGAGCGATTGCAGATACACCATACAAGAGATATCGAGATTGTTTAGTTAATGGCCATTTCTACCAATGTAGATTAACTTTAATCTTGGTTTAACACATTTTGTATCTATTTCTAGTTCCAAGAATTAGAAAAAAAAACACAAAAGGTAAATAAAACCGAGATTAAATTCAATTTACATTGATAGAAATGGACGTAAGTGAGCGGCCCGGTTGCGTCGGGATCGCTTAAAAAGTGATTTGAGACGAAGAGAGGGACGTTCTTACGCTCTGTCTCGTTCCGCCAGCAATAATGGCAATATAGCCAGGCGCGCGCTTCTCATCTCGATCTGCTCACGCCTGACCACCTTGAAGCTCCGATAGTAGGCGTAAAATCCGGCGAGCGTCGTGGTTACGAAAAGCGCGATCGTGCTCTTGGCTGTAAACAACACGTTCGTGACAACATTATTACGTAATGCTCGGCGATAACGGCCAGCCCCTAATTGCGACCGGTGTTTATTCAGCAGAATCTCAATCAACGCGACAGGCATAGCCCCTTACCGCCGAGAATGGTGCGTAATTTTATCCTCTCGGTCTGGATGGGACCGTAGCCTCCCTTCGGCGGAAGGTCCTGCATCCTTTTGCCGTCTGCCGTCGCATCCATCTTGTCGGTTTTCCTCTCGGCGAGACGAGAGAGTTTGGACTAGAACATCACTCGACGCGCGGGTGAAGGCTTCGTAAACACTCGTCCACCATCCGCAGGTCCCCCTCACTGGCTTGCTACAGCTGATTACAGGCCGAGTATGGCGGTCGGTATACCGACTCGAGTAGCAACGCTATAGCGTACTAATCGCCTGGTACACTTCTGTAGTAGTACTACTGTGCTACGGTACTAATTAAATACTGGCCTTGCACGAGCCATTTAAAGCACGATAAACGATTATATAAAGATGTCCATTCTCATTGGGGAAGGAAACCTAGGCAAATAGCATAAATAAATCGGATGAAAAGAGCCATGTGATCAAAAATTTTTCACACAAGCGTGAATCTCATTTTTTTTTTTATTAAATGTAAAAGTAGAAATTATTTAGAACTTCCTTTCGGAGGTTCTGCAAAATTCCCTGTGCAAAAGTAATCGTAAAGAGGGAGTAATAATAAATATTTGCTCGTTTTTAAATGCCCTTTAAACGTATTTTGCACCAGTAGACGTGTTATTTGGATAAAGTCCACGATGGACAAATCAGAATTGTTTCTCGAAGGGGGATAATTAATTACAATAAAAGTCAATTTTCATAAATTCAATACGTCTGATTAGAAATGTATGTGAGAAGGGCAATTATCGTCCTTCAGTCCGTCGTGTCGTATTAAATTTATAACAAAAATATATACAATACAAATGTAACATATGTTTAAACGTAAATACTTGATTTGGTACTTCGATCAAGCCGAACGTGCGCGCATATGAAAACTGGACTTGTCGCAATCAGAACGGGATCTGAACGCCTGCCGGAAGGACGCTCTCTACAACTCTACGTATATGCGATGTTAACTTCGATTCAACCAACGTGACTTTTCCTCCGGTACTTCTTCTTTCGATCCAGATATTACGTTTAATAATTATTATCACGAATTACGTTCGGAATACGAGTGAAATTACAAGCGGGATGTGGCATGAACGGAGCGCCTCTGACCGCCGACGTCAGCGACGTGTGCGAGACTCCGCCGGAAGTGACGTTCCTCGCCGGCGGCTAGTACCGTCACGCGCCCGTCGCCGGCCGCGCGGAGAGCGGCGCGGGCGGCGCGGCGGGTCCCCTTTTCCGTCTCGTCGCCGTCCGTGCTGCCGCCGTGCCATCTCCGGGGATCGAACGCGAATAGCTCCATCTGTGAGTCACGGCGCACAAGTGGGATGCTTGCGGTTGATTGTATACTGAGAAAATTCGTAAGAGATGGTGCTGACGGGGAAATATTGAGGTCCTGCGGCTGAATAGGTATGCGAATTATAAGTGCAATAGCGTTTTCGATACGCGCGCACGGGGACTCTACCCCGCGGGCGCGGGCCGCCGGCTGGACATCCCGGCGGAGGATCCCCTCGTCGCGGGCGCGGACTCGCGCGCGGACGGACGGGCGCGACGCGTACGCGGGGAGCCCAGCCAGCGTCCCGCCAGAAGATGTGGCTCGCGCGTAACGTCACCCGTCGTCGTCCCCCGAGATAGATAGAGAGAGAGAGAGAAAAATTATTCATAATTCGCGTTCCCGTTTCCAGCACGGCCCCCGCGCCGCGTCCTCCGCCTCCCCTCGTCGCCGCCCGCTCGCGAGAAGCGTCCCCGAGCTCGCGTTCCTCGGTGCCAAGAGACGCGGGACGACATATAAGTCTTTCTTTTTCTGTCATACGATTCCCCTCTGATAACGGAGCGCGATACGCGAAGCCACCGTCAAGTACATAACTATGTACGTTGAAACACGTCGCGAGTCGTATGTATATGACACTCTCTCGGCCCACCTTCGAGGAATGGATCGACCCCACCGGAGCGCGTTACGCCAATGAAACTTTTACAAGCTCTTTTGCGACTTTCGCGAGACCAAAGAGACAGATTTAGCGTTTATATTCGAGTCAAAAAGAAAGTATTCTTGAGATGCGTTGGAGAAACAAGATAGATAAAGAACACTTTTTTTTAGGAAGATTATGATAACAATTCTTATTTGTGAAATTAGTTGAGATTATTTTGTCTCTTTACTTCTGCGTAGTATTGTTGGCACAAAGTAGATTATAATTATTTTTATTATATAACTATAGTTTCAGATATAATGTAGTTTTGTTTCATTTCGATATCATAACACTGTTATTTTTACCATGTGTTTTAGAGAAATATATACATTTTATCGAATTATATAAAACATAAAGATTAAAGTATTAGTAATATAATATCACATCCAAAATTTTATTCTACAAATTAAGTTTATTCAATTTAACATATCTAATAGAGAGTATACACATTATAAAGATTAAATAATTTTCATTATTCAATTTTTTAAATGATTATTAAAACATCTTTTTTCTAATTTATCCTATAGTGTTTTGTTTTCTGGAAAGGATTTAGAAAGTAGAACAATTTATTCAATTTGAATCTATTTAACTTTCTCTTTATTTGTCCGTTCTGTTTATAAAAATAATATTATATATAATATATATTTAATATTTGATGTATGATCTATATTATATTTTCAATCAGGTATTGATACTTTTGTCAAATACACTTCATAATGGAGTCAGGAGTACTTCAAGAGAAATCACCCCCTACGCGTGGCTTAAAGCAAGTGAAGGTGGATAATTGGGGCTCGTTCTTTCTCCAACGACTTCAGACTCTTTACTCGGAGGAACAGTTTCTTGATCTTAAAATTAAATTTCCTACAAGTGATATTACTGTGCAGGTACAAATAATTTAACGCTTATATTGTTGGTACAAAATCATAGTATCGAAAAGTAATTCTGTACGTGTGATTTTGAAATGATCAGTAATATTGTTAATAGAAATTTGTCCAGGCTCATCGACTTGTAGTGACAACATGTACAGACTATTTTATGCAACTCGAGGAACAGCAGAAGGAAAAAGATGAAAACTTTAATGGTGTAATTATTATGCCTTCAGATATGCCTTACGAGTGTGTTAAGTCTATTATAAGGTATGTTTTTCTAATATTCATTGTTTTAACATATTAAATATGAGTTTCCGAAACGGGTAACACCAATCACCGCGTATTTTTTCATTTACACAATCTTCGACGTTTCAATTAATTTATAAAACTGCATACATAATAGAGTCGAATAAAAAAATCCCAGATTCGCCGAGTAGAAATTGATCGTTTTCACACGAAACTATCCTTATTTATGTTTTAATATGCAGTGAAACATTTTTTGTCGTTTATACTTAATTAATAGCACATTCTTACACAGCTTTATGTACACTGGACAATTGGAATATTGGACGTCGGAGCAACACGCTTTGTATCGTACAGCGCAAAAGATGAATATGACAGTCCTAACGAAGTTGCTCGACGCTCAATTTAACACGAGTAAGGTGCAAGAGGATATGTTAAAAACACCCACACGTCCAATGATAGCCGTCTCGAAACCTTCAACTCCAGCTACAAAGGCGATTGTCAGCTCCACTAGTTCGGCATCGACTTTATCTGGGCAGCCGTTGCCAGGTAGAAAGTATGTATTCCATAACGTACGTGCGTTTCAAACGCAGTCCTGTGACAACAAAATGTCAATAATGTCATCATAAATATCTATATTATTGAAGGCTCCCGATATGGAAGAGAAAACTGGACGAATCTCCACCGACGCCGAATTACGAGGTACGAACATTCCACGGCACATCCTCGATACACAAACAGGACACGACTCCCGGCCCATCCAGATTCGACCTTCCGGAAGCGGACGATATCGCTCTGGGAGTGTTTTCCTCATTCGACGACATCACATATAACACGAAGCCTATTGTTCAAGCATCCGACACGTATAAGAAGGGAAGCTCCTCTCGTAAACGTTCGCCCGACCGAGACAGCAAGAATGACACGACTGAGGATGAGGATGACGAAAATCAGGAGAGCGAAAAGAACGCGAGAGACGCAAATTCGGACGACGATTGGTCTATATCGAAGAGCTACCAGAGATCTCAGGAGGGCCCGTCTAAACGAGTACGTTTCGATCTGGAGGAGAAGGAAAATGTGGAGAAGCCTAAGACGAACGTTCGTCCGAGTACCGACGATTCGATCAACAATCACGCGAAGATCATCAGGGAGGTGTTGAAGAAGTATCCCCATTTAGTGAAGAACAATAAGAATATTCGCTTGAAGATCATGCAGAAGGAAGCGAAGTCCTCCGACAGCAATACCGCGTGCAAGACAAAAGTGTCCTACGTGGTCTTGAAGTCCGATCATCTGTTGTCCAGCAATAACGACGAAAACGACTCCAAGTGCAACGGCAGCATCGACGGCGAGATAGGCCCGTGGAAGTGCAACAAGTGCGATCTGGACGAGGAGTACACGAATTACTACATGTACAGGAGACACATGCAGGACGTGCACGAGGAGAAGTTCGATCCGAGGGTCTGCGAGCACTGCGGCTACAAGGCGACCAAGCGCAACATTCTGATGTACCATCTCTACACCAAGCACAACGTGCCGCCGCCGAAGAGCATGTGCTTCCCGAAATGCCAGGCCTGCTCGTACGTCGCCCTGTCGGAGACCCTGCTGGTGCGCCATCAGATAAATCACAATCATCGGCCACCCACCCGGCATCACTCTCTACCGTCGGAGGACATTCAGTGCGGCCAGTGCAGTCAGTCGTTCAAGAACATCACCGAGCTCACCACTCACGAGTTGAACAGCGGACACGCCGGGTGTGTGTCGGATAAGGAGTCGAAGGGCCATCGCTGTCCGTACTGCGGCAAGGTGTTCGTGCGCCTGACGAATCTGCAAGTGCACCTGGACTGCGCGCACAAGGATCTACAGAGAGACACCACCGAGTCCTCCCCGTCCGCGCCGAGTATCCCGTTGGAGCCGTCGTCCGAGGCGGAGGCCCTCAGCCACGTCGCCAGCGGTATTGCCGCTTCCCTCGGTGTCGGCGACACGGAGACCGCCCCGGAGACGCAGGAGGACGAGACCGTGGAGATCACGAACGAGGGCCAGTACATGCTGGACAGTATGACGCACAACATCAATTACAGCGAGCACGAGCTGGAGAGTCAGCACATGATCATGCTGGTCAACAACGACGAGAGCTATCAGCACGCCGAGAGCAATCATCATCAGCAGCCGCAGCAGTTGGACATCGCCGACAACGAGCAGATAGTGATGCAGAGCACGGACGACGGTATGATCGTGTACATCCACGGCGCCGAGGAGGCCGATCATCGGTCCTACGAGAATTATCAGTCCGCCGAGGCCGCGCAGGAGACGGAGGAGGAAATAGTGGAGGAGGTCGTCGAGGAGGTCGAGGAGGAGGTTTTGGAGGAGGAGGAAGAGGAGGAGGAGGAGGTGGTGCAGGAGGTGTCCCAGGAGATGCTGGAGGATTCCTCCGACAGCCGTGTGGAGGTGATACAGTACGTCGAGGAGCAGACGGAGATAGTCGAGTACGACGAGGAGCAGTGCAGCGAGCAGAGCAACAGTGTGGACGAGCAGCAGGAGTCCGTCATGATCATCGAGGAGGAGCACGTCGAGGGCGAGGAGGACGCGGAGGAGACCACTGACAAGCAGCATAAAAAGATGCAAAGTTCATTCACCACCGAATGGGACGAAGATAGCGCGGGGCTGACGGAATCATGAATACTGTAATACTGGAGTTTCTTTTATTTTCTATTTGCTTGTGTAATAACGTTCAACTTAACTTTCCACCACTGGCTAATAACGATTATTTAATTTTAAAAGCAACACCTCTCCTTAATGGGGAAGTTTTGATTTTACATTTTACTTTTTATCTGTGTAATGTCTCTGTTGATAGTGGACGGGGTGACACGCGAACGAGCGCAGTGCAGCCTGCGCGACTTTGCCACACGATAATATTTTAGCAGTAAGCCCACACAAAAAATTAATCAAATTATTATATTCAAACGAGAGCAGGAAGGAGTGGTATTACTGACATAACATCGTATTGAGCTTGTACATGTGAATTCTACCGTTGCACCCGACACACTGATAATTTTGTTGAAACGAGTTTTAGCAGTTAAGTGTAAGCTAAAATATATATATATATTTTACATTGCAAAAACATGAAATCTCAATTGTAGATTGAGATCATTTACAGCGGTAGCACTTTTAAGAGATCGGGACGAGAATCTGTAATCTTTAAAAGAAAACCTGTTTTCTTTTTTCCAAATACAAATAAGTTTATACATATGCATGTGTGTAGCTTATGAATAAAATCTAAATTAAAATTTATAGGGATTTATTTCGTTACTTTTAGGACACTATTTCGAGAATACACACATTATAGATCACACGCCAAAAGTAAATTGATGACCAATCATGTAGTTTTTTTAAAATGCCATTTTCGCAAAATGAAAAAAATGCGTCACATTTGAAAAGTATTCTTGCGAACGAATGTGAACCTTCTAAATATCGCCTGTGCAATCAATTTAAGGTAAATGTACCAATGACCGAATGTACATATCTATATCGGAACACGTGCACAAAATTTATTAATCTCAAACGCTTTTTTAATATTTATAATTAAAATTTAATTGTAAAAATATTTAGAGATTTCAATTAAATGATAATATTATGAAAAAAAGCATTTAAAAATAAGTGTTTACGTTCCGATATAGATACATGATGTTCAGTCACTTGGTACATTTATCTTATCGCAATTCGATAATAAACAATGGTTTCATGATAGGAGGCGAACGCTACGATAATAAAAAAATCTCAGATTAACGCATTATGTTTTACACTTTCGACTGTACACAGTTATATGGAAAAATATAAATAAATGCAATATATATATATATTACAAAAATTTATATGGTTTTGAAAAGCGGTTGAAAAGTGCAAATACCAGAAGCTGGAAAGTGCCGTTACCAGGAACCAAAATGACAATGCGCATTCCCACGTAATATAGAACCTTATCCGCGTCCGTAAACATTTTTTATTTCATCCTAACCTAAATTAGAAGCTAATCTCCGTCTCGTCTTGATGATACCGTTCGTGGAATACTCCTTCTTGACGAGATAATTTAAAGTTCAATGTTCAAGGAGAAAAGACAAATTCGTAATCGAACGTAGAACCTTTGTCGTAATTTCTGTAAAGATAAATTCGCGAAAATATGAACGGTCGTCCAAATCCGTGCGCTCCGAATAAATCGACTGTTTAGTGTTTACGTCATTTATATGTGTCGAACCGTTCTCCTTAACTAACAAACACAGACGTATACAAGGCGTCACAAATGCCTACCCATCTGAAATTGCAGAGGCACATATACGTATATATTAATTGGATATACATATATATAATACGTATATATAGGTCAGTATCTTACATCTTTCTTTAACTCACTATGCAATAACTTATAATATTTTGTGCCTTGCCCTTTAGAAACGAAGCATTTAGTTTTCTCACTGTAAGCTTCATCTGTATACCCTGACGTTATGTATTTTTGATCAAATTCTAGTGTTACCAGCATATCATTTACTGACTGTATGCTTTTATTATCTATCAAACCAGGTACACAATCTTTGTATCTGAACTAAGTCATATGCATTTCCTAAGTAATAAGAACCTTTCTTAAGAGTCTGCCAACGAGAAGTATTCTTTTCCGAGCCATGGTTGTGACATGCTCCATAACATAGGAAGGTACGTCTTGTGTACAACACAAGACATCACAAATGCCTACTCATCTGAAATTGCAGGGGCACATATGTATATATTATTGTATATACATATATATATAATGCCAGAGAGAAGCATGATAATAATCTCTCTAATCTTATCTTTCTGATAATGCATATATATGGGTTAGTATCCCTGCAAGTTCAGATTTGTGACACCTTGTGTACATGAGTTATTGGAAAGTTATGGGAAAATTGTCAAGTAAGTTACGTGTGTTTTTTTTACTTAAATTTATCATGTCTGTACATTGTGTAAACATTAAATATTACATCATTTATTCGCAGAGTAACGATATTGAAAGACAAGGTAACGCGTCGCAGTCGGGGTGTCACCTTCGTGCAATTTCTCAAGACAGAAGAGGCTGTGGATTGTACGAAAGATTTCAATAACACAAAGGTAAATTTCAATTTCCACTATCTATTCTATATTTTATATTCTATTCTATTATATATAAAGAATATAGAATATATTTATAGGTAAAGTACTTATTGATCTTTCTAAGGACCAGAAAATCACTAACTTACTAAAATTAATTGAAGAATTGTTTGGAGATGCAAAAAAAGTTGAAATTATTAGCAAGCTAAGAAGTAAAGCCTGATGAGTTTGTAACTGTAATAAATGCTCGTTATAACCAAGGAAATACGTTATTGCAAGCTATAGCTAATAAACACAAAAATATTGCAGGTAAATTGTTAAAAATGCTGAAAGAGCCAGATCCAGTTCAATCACAGTCTAGCCCTGAGTTGGATCAACTTCAAAAGCTTAAATATGCTGCAGAGGTGCATATTTCTTGTTCTAAGACTTACCTTCGTATGTTATGGGGCATGTCGCAACCATATGGCTCGGAAAAGAATACTTCTCG